ATATGAACTAAAAATGCTTCCAGTCTGGATTCCAAATGAGTTCATCGCATTTGCTTAGTTGACTCTATTCCAGAAGCAGCTAGTTTTTACTTTAACATAAATTTACTAAATTGCCAAAAGAGTGTAACATGTATATCATCTCCTCCCTATGCAAAACAAGCTGTCTGAACTTAAAATGTATTGAGATGTGGCCAAAGCAGTCTTTTACACTCCAGCTGGCAAGCTCTCAATCCTCAGAAAATGTCTAAGCCACTAAGAATTTATATCTAAGATACACAAAGTAGAAAAACTCGCCTAACGATGCGGAGAAACGAGGCTGCTGCTATTCCCAGCGCTCCGGTGAGGGCTCCCGAGCGCAGCGCGTGCGGCCGGACAGGCCATCCCGCCTGGGCCGAGTGAGCACCAAGCACCTGCCGCCTCTTCCCATGAGGAACATAAGAGACTTGAGGCATTTAAGAAACTTAGTTCCTTTAGAAACACTTAAGAATCGATCCTGGTTAGTAAACTGAATCCAAGCAGATCAACCCAGGACTCCAGACTATTCAGAACTCTGCTTTCAACTATTCGAAGACTTGAGATGTTGGCCACAGCAGTCAGCAAAGCAGTGATGACACTTCTTTAGAGACAGGCCATTTACGCTTGTTGCAAGTAAATATTATTATTAATCTCAGTTTTTACTCGAAGGCTATAAATACAAACACTCTGGAAAAGCTGACAGGCATCGCTGAAGAGAGTGCCTCCTCAAAGCAAGATGGAGCAGGAGCCTTTAAGAACTGTGTTTTTGAAACTATAAACCACCATGTACTGCAAGTAGGATTTAAAACCCCTTCTCACAGCAGAACATCCTTATGTAACAGTATGAGTCATTTACAGAAATCTGCCAGGGTGCAAACTCTCCCTGCATACTAAGCACAAGGGTATATGGCCTGTGAAAGCAGCTCTCCATCAGCCACCGAGCTGCCAGGGCCTCCACCACCCCCAGAGCACGAGCTTGGCCTCCTCAGCCAACGAGTTG